ATAGATAATGGAATTATTTTCTCTGAATTTGTCAGATACAAATGGACTAGACATTGTTTAGGTACTTGTTGCATGTATATGTGGTATATAGTTGTTGTACTTTTGTATATAGTTTTTCTTATGTTAGTTATAACCTTTTGCCTTTTTTCTTTTTATTAAAGTAGAAAAGGGGAAAAAGAATTTGTACTATATCAAGCTGATAGTAGAAAAAATAAATAAACAAATAAAAATGAGAAAAAAAAACTTCACATGCTAATAACAGCTTCAGGGTAGGCAAGGTGTACTTAGAAGGTTGAGGCAGAAGAACATGAGTTCAAAACCAGCCTGGGCTACAAAGTAAAATCCTGTAGATAATAATAATAAAAACAACAACAACATCTGCTTAGAGCAAGGGAGATGGCTCAGTGGGGAAAGTGCCTGCTGAACAAGCATGAGGACCTGAGTTCGAACCCCAAGGGAGTTGGAGACAGGAGGATCCTCCGGCACCTGCACACACGTGAACACATACATACTGGGGCACGAGCATGCAAACACACACAAATAAAAGAATAACATTGGGGCTGGAGAGGTGGCTCAGTGGTTCAGAGCACTGGCTGCTCTTCCAAAGGACCTGAGTTTAATGGCCAGAATCCACATGGCAGCTCACAGCTTTAACTACAGTACAGGGGATCTAATGTCCTCTTCAATTACAGTTCAGGGGATATAGCGCCCTCTTCTGGCCTCCACGAGGACCTGCAGTTATGTGCACATACCCACACACATATACAAACATATACACACAATTTATTTTTTTTTAAATCTGTATATGAGAATGAATAACTAGAACTAATAGTGTGTTTGTCCATCCATGGGAGAACAGCTAATAAGTGAGGTATATTCATTCAGTGAAATGCTACACAACACAGAAAAAAAAAAACAACAATGTACTAATAAATAATATACTATAGTACTAATAAGAAAAAAATCTTGTAGGAATATTGGTAACCAGAATAAAATGAAGTAAGTAAAATATGTTGTAAAATATATAGTAGGAATCAATCAATAAATTAAAAAAAAAAATACTAATACAGCCGGGCGGTGGTGGCTCACGTCTTTAATCCCAGCACTTGGGAGGCAGAGCCAGGCAGATCTCTGTGAGTTCGAGGCCAGCCTGGGCTACCAAGTGAGTTCCAGGAAAGGCGCAAAGCTACACAAGAAACCCTATCTCAAAAAACCAAAAATAAGAAAAAATACTAATACCAAAACTATATCATTTCTCTATCTCTCCCTCGTGTATGTGTGTGTGTGTGTGTGTGTGTGTGTGTGTGTGTGTGTGTTCCTTTGATGCTGCTGTGATAAAATTCCCAAACAAAAGCAACTTAAAGGAGATAGAGTTTACTCTGGGTCACAGTTCAAGAGTGCATGATGCAGAGGAGTCGAGGCAGGCAGCTAGCTGTTCTCGTGCCATCCACAATCATTACACAGAGAACAAGGAACACATTCTCCATTTTATACAGCCCGGGATCCTCTGCCCACAAGCAAGCTACATCTTCCCATATCAATTAATATGGTCCAGGGGACCCACCACTGGCAGACCCAGAGGTCCATCTCCCTTGTGACTCTAGATCCTGGCAGGTTGGATTAGCACCAACCATCGCAGAGTATTTGAAAACACAGGTTTTAGCTGGGTATGGTAACACTCAGCACTCAGGAGACAGAGGCAGGAGGATCTCTGTGAATTCTAGGCCAGCCTGGTCTACAAAATGAATTCCAGGACAACAAAAGCTGTTACACAGTGAAATTCTGTCTCCAAGACCACCAAAAGGAAGAAGAAGAAAAGAAGAGGGGAAGGAGGAGGGGAAAGGAAGGAAGGAAGGAAGGAAGGAAGGAAGGAAGGAAGGAAGGAAGGAAGGAAGGAGAGAGAAAGGTAGAGAGAAGAGGAGAGGAGAGGAGAGG